GATTTAACAGGTGAAGAGAAGGAAAGGAGGGCAATCTAGTTGGTGCAAGAGATAAAATGCTGGCCTTGGAGTCAGGAAGATAGTGCAATGTAAAAAAGGCTATTTAGTTTTGGATAATATGGGAAGAATTTCTAGTCACTTGTAGATTTCTGAAAGTTATGTTATATTGGTTCTTTTTCTGTAGCACTGTTGTAATCTTGGCTTTCCTGAATTTCTTTTTCTGAAATTCAAAAACTTTTTGCCCCTAAATTCCTTTGGGTCCAAAAATAGTAGAACTTCTTGATATATTTCATGTAGTAGAATAGACATTATCTTTGTTTCTGCATTATTTACTTGCCCTCCAACACTGTACTTCACAGTTGAAGGCCATTTTGAAATTATGTGGTTTTTCTTTTGCCTAAAATAACTTGCCAAGTGTTCCTAAACATGAAAAAGACAAAACACTTGCTTAACTCCTCACTCAGAAATGGAAAGTGACCTCTTTAATTGAAAAGCTAGGGCAAAACCTAAAAATAGATTTCATAGTGTAACTTTTCTCATAAATTTTCAGCCATAGTAATACAAGAAGTTGAAATTAGAGATGTAGTGATATGTCAAACTGCCTTCAAAGCAGTTTTACAAAGCAATTTAGATGACAGCTATGTCTATACAAAGAAAGATTCATTTTCTTAGGAATCTCAGTTTTACTAAAGCACTCAATTCAGTTTTCTGAATAGCTTATTTTCTAGTTCTTTGAAAAGCTGTTTGTACATTTCAAGGTTAAAGGAAATTGTAAGCTATGTCAGAAACATGGGGCAAGAGCAGTGTTTGGATTATTTATTTATTTTCCCCTTAATGTTCTCATGTACAGTTTCTGATGAGGAACATGCAGTGCTACATATTTCAGGTATGATTTTTTATGTGAATGCAATAGAGCTGGGGGGTGGGGTAAGGCTTATTTGGGGAAAAAAGACAGAACTTTTTTTCAGCTACAGTTAAATTAACTAGTAAGTGCTGATTAAGCTACCACTGTGTGTTATGTCCTGTAGTCCCTACCAGAATTGAGCTTACATTTTATTGGAGTTGTACAATATGATTTCTTATTAGTATATACAAGATAAATACAAAATCTATAGTGATTGGGGATGGGGAGACACTAACAATTTAATGAACCAGGAAAGGCCTCTTGGAGTTCAGTTGACTGAACCAAAGAAGAGCATCAGAACCTGAACTTTGCTTCTTTTGAACAGTTGCCCTGGGATTAGTTGATGTTCTTCTTATTTTCTTAAGCACTTTCTCTTTTTGTTTTGTTGATTGATCTATTTAGAAATATATCTAGTCAGCTAGCATTTAAGTGCCTACTCTGTGGGAAATACACTGTGCTAAATGCTGGGAATACAAAAAGAGGGCAAAAAATAGTCTCTCTTCTCAAGGAGTTCACATTCTAATGAGGAGATAATATCTAAACAACCATATACAAACAAGATATATACAGGATAAATAGGGAGTATTCTCAGAGGGAAAGGGCTAATGTTAAGGAGGGCTATGAAAGACTTATAGAGGAGGATTTGAACTGAGACTTGAAGAAAGCTAGTGAAGCCAAGAGGCAGAGATGAGGAGGGAGAGAATTCCAGGCATGGAGGACAGCCAGTGAAACTGTCCAGAGTTGGGAAAATAGCAGAGGTAGGGAAGGGAACGAGCATTTACATAATGATTATTATATAAGAGCTTGGCACTTACAAATGTTATCTCATTTGATTCTCATAACAGCCCTGTGAGATAAATACTGTTAGAATTTTCATTTTACAGTTGAGGAAACTTAGGTAGACAGATTGAAATGACTTGCCCAGGGTCACATAGCTATTAAGTGTCTGAGGCAGGATTTGAACTCAAGTCTTCCTGACTCTAGGCCCAGCACTCTATCTACAATGCCACCCTGCAATTTTTTTGTGCGAGGGACAGCAAGGAGGCCAGTGTCACTAGATTGTAGAGTAGGTGAAGGGGAATAAGATGTGAGAAAATTGGAAGGGTAGGAAGGACTTTGAAAGCCAAGCAAAGGATTTTGTATTTGATCCTAGAATAATTGAGAATCTTTGGAGTTTGTCAAATACGGGGAACGATATGGTCAGGTCTGCATTTTAGGAAGCTGAGTGGAGAATGGATTGGAGTGGGCAGATAATTGAGGCAGAGAGACCAACTTGCAGGCTGTTTTAATTGTCCAGGTTGGAAGTGATAAGATCCTCTGCCACTGAAGTGATTACATCAGAGGAGAGAAGGGGGCAGATACAAGGGATGCTACGGAGGTGGAAATGACAAGATTTTACTTCTAATTAGATATGGGGGGAAGAGTGAGAGTGAGAAGTCGAGAATGACCTCTAGGTTTCAAGCCTTGGTGTGTGAGAGGCTGTAAGTACCGTAGACAGTAATGCAGATGTTAGGAAGAGGGGAGGGTTTTGGGGAAAACATAAAATCTCTTAAGAAAAATTTCTTCCTCCTTAAAAAGTAAAGTACCCTTACAGCTTATTATTATTATCATTGGTGGGGGGTGTACTTCCTACTAATGTGAATAATAGAAATAATCCACAGATATTATCAATGTCAGAATGTTAGTTACTAGAGTTAGGTTGAACTATGACAATATTTTTTATATTTTTTTAAAAGATATATTAAAGACTATATTTACTAGGTAACTTGGTATTATAGGAAAAGCACTGACTTTAGAATCACAGGACCTAGGTTCAAATCCTGTCTCACTTAGTACTTGTATCACTTTAGGTAAGTCATTTAACTTCCCTCAGCCTCAGTTTCATCATCTGTAAAGAGAGGAGGTTGGCCTCTTCTAACTCTTAAGTCAGTGCTTTTATAATTTAATGAGTTTTATTTAATTGATAACTGTTGTAATAGAAGCCTTGTTGATTTGAAATACAGGCTCAAATGTCGTGTGTGTGTGTGTGTGTGTGTGTGTGTGTGTGTGTGTGTGTGTGTGGCAATTGGGGTTAAGTGACTTGCCCAGGGTCACATAGCTAGTAAGTGTCAAGTGTCTGAGGCCAGGATTTGAACTCTAGGCTCAAATGTCTTAAGGATTTGTAGGACACTGACAGAATTTGATGTTAGTGTTTATATTTTACCTGCAAGCTTCTCATTTTAGTTCACATCAGATATAAGATATTAAGAAAAATGTTGTTAGGATGGGAATCTTAGTACTGAGAATACTGTCTTCTGAAATTGTGTTTGAATTTCTGCAGCAGGAAATAGTAGAGTGAAACACAAGTCGAAAACTTCCAAAGCTGATGTTAAACTAAAGGCTTCTAAGGCAGCTGATCCTTCTATCGCCATGGATCCTTTCAAAGGTGCAGGAGACTCAGCATGTAAAGAGGTTAGTAGAATTTCTTGTTTTTACTTAGTATTTTAGGCCTGGAAAAAGGTATGTAAGGCTTCCCAGTGGCCAAAGTCATGCAGCTAAATGAACCCTTGAGAGTCCAACAAAGCTACCTTGTTTGAGTGGATGACAGGCCATAGGGAATGCCACATTGTCAGACCAGGTCCCTCTTCATACTCATATAGGAAATTGCTTGTGTTGTTTAAGGTATACAGGAAAACATTCCAAGACCTCCTTCAAAACACATTTCGTTTTTGGATGTATATTGTCCTAGATTTGGAGGATGTGGGTATTTGTAGTTTATATAAGAATTATATTATGTAGGACTATCAGTCATCATTACTGCCCTGTGAGATTTGAAGTCTAGGCTCAGGACACTCTTAATCTCTTGTTTGCTGTATGTAATAAAGGCAGCATGGGATAGTAGATAGAGTGCTGGTCCAGGAATCAGGAAGATCTGGGTTCACATCTTGCAGTGTGTCTATATTTGTTGAAGATTTCTGAGATTACTGTGGGCTAAGTTATAATATATAATAAATGTATATGAGACCTTAAGATTTAATTTGTGTGCATTAAAAATCTCTGCAGAAAAAAAAAGTTCAAACTGAGTTTTCAATCTTATTTTCCCTTTATAAGGTACCTAAGCTAAAGATCTGCCCATTAACAAGTAATAAATGTTATTAAAAATTACATGTACATTAAAAAAGACTAGACTCTGTTAAAGTGAATTTATAGGATATAGATTTGAAGCCTTAGACATGAACTAGTCCAACTCCCCACCCCCCCATCTTTGTAGTTGTTTGTTTTACAAATGAGGAAACCATAGGAGGTTACATTTATTTGACCAAGGTCATACAGATAATAAAAGATCTGTGACTAAAATCTAGATCTTCTGACTCTAAAACCCAGTGTACTTTCTCTTTCTTATGTCATTCTTTTTTTAAGCCCTTCATTTACTTGGTTGGGGGGGATGGCTCTTGGGGTAGGTCTGTGACATTCCGTGTCAGTGTGCAAGGACCTGTAATTTCATTAGTGTAGGAATTCCTTCAACCAGCTGAGATCATAATAAAATTTAGTAAGTAAGTTTTTATGGGCAGCTAGGTGGCATAGTGGGATAGATTGCTGATCTGGAGTCAGGTCAGGAATACTCATCCTCCTGAGTTCATATCTGGTCTCAGATACTTCTAGCTGTGTGACCCTGGGTAAGTCACTTAATTTTGCCTCAATTTCCTCATCTGTAAAATGAGCTGGAGAAGGTAATGGCAACACTCCAGTATCTTTGTCCAAGATAACCAATTGCAGAGAAGATTCTGACTTGCTCTGGTAGAAAGAATTTCCTTACCCTGGGAGTTCTCTTCTGGTGAAATCACAAGTTTAGTCCCTATCCACATTTTACATGTGAGGAACTTGAGTTAGTCCTTTTATTACTAGGTGATTGATTCGCTATTTCATACCTCCCAAAAGTTATTCTTAACTTTTTCTTCCTTTATTGACTCCTGCCTCATAACTCCCTCTCTTGTTTTCTTTCAGTTGAGAGCCTTGCATTTTACTTTACTGAAAAAAATTGAGGTTGTTCATTTTGAACTCTCACATTTGCTTTACATTAAAACCTTTTAACATCATCTCCTACTCTTTCCTCCTTTTTTCCCAGCTCTGAGGAAGAAGTGTCCTCTTCTTTTGCCAACTTCAGCATCTCTACATGTGCATTTGATTCTTCCCCATTCTTCACTAGACCCTGCTGTCTTCAGGCTCTCATCCCCTATCTTTCTTCCCTTTCTCAATCAAATTCCTTGAAAAAGCTGTCTCTGCTGCTTGTCTCTAAGTTCCTCTTCCCTCACTCAACTATTTGCAGTGAGGCTAATGGCCTCATCAGCCAGCTGAAACTTCTCTTTTCCAAGTTACTAGTGATCTCTTAATTGCCAAATCTGATGGTCTTTTCTGCAGTCGAGTCCTTCTGAAACTATCTGTTTTTGACTCTGTTGACTAGAGGATGTACTGAACTAGAGGCTGGGAGACCAACTAGGAGTCTGTTGCAAGAATTTGGGTAAGAGCCTGAACTAGAGTAGGGTCTGTGTGAGTGGAGAGAAGTAATCGGAAGCAAGAAGTTTTGCAATTTATTTAATATGTGAGGTAAAGGAAAGTAAAGAGTCTAGGGTAGAGGTTCCCAAACTTATTTGGCTTATTTGGCCTTAAAAAAAATTACTCAGTGTCCTCTGAAATCTACCTTTTCTTTTAACCCTTTAACTTTTTTTTGAAGTTTGTATCATTTCAAAAAAAATATGAAATTTTTAAAAATGGCATCTTAAATTTAATAATTTATTGTAAATTTGTGGTTTTTTGCCTGCATTTTTTTGTGATGCAGTATTGCATCATGTAACTATATAGCTTCATGTTGTAAACAAGTCATTACAGGCACATATTCCTGCCAATACATGCTGGACTTCCCAGTAATTCGAGATATGCTCACCTGCTAACACTTGCTTGTTAAGAACTATCGATGGACTTGACCGTTGATCAGTTATAACTTGCATTTTGTGTTTTTACTTGGGAAATAATGTAATCACCAGGACTTTTAACTCTGTTACACAACAGATGAAACGTGTACAAATGATTTTTCGAAATTTTCTTCTCTTCTTTCCTTATGCTTCCACTGCCCTCTTATTTTTATTCAATGCCCCCCAATTGCACCCGAGGCTACTACTGTCCCCCTGGAATATTCCAGTCCCCCCGAGGGGGGTGGTATCATCCATTTTGGGAACCTGTGGGGATGATGTCAAGATTATGAACCCTGATGGATGGAAACATGGAAGTTGGAAAGGAAGGAGGAAAGACAAGAAACCCAGCTTTGGACATGTGTTTACTTTATGATGTCTTTAGGACATCCAGTCTGAAACACACAAAAGGTGATTTGTGATGTAGAAGTGAAGGTCAGGGGAGAGACTGGGCTGGATAGGTAGATCTAGTTCAGTACATTCTCTATGCAGTTGCATATGCATATGCAGTGAATCTGACCCTGTTACTTTCCAACTCCCTGTTGTCTTTAGGACAAAGTACAAATTTCTCTGTTTAGCTTTTAAAGCCCTATACAGCTGGGCTCCAATTCATTTTCCCAGCTTGAATGGTACTCCCTCTCCTCTACTTTTTGATCTCTCTAAACCTACCTTCTTCCTGTTCTTCACGTACAACTCCATTTCCTGGCTGTCTCCCCTGCCTGGAATGAACCTCTACTTTAGAGGGTCCCACTTTTCCTTTAAGATAAATCTCAATCACTGTCTAATACATTGTCTTTTCTTCTCCCCCCAACTGCTATTTCCCTCCCTCACAAACAGCTTTGTCTGTATTTATATTTTTTTACTTTCTAGTCTATATGGGCATATTTGTATATATGCATGTACATACACACATATATATATTATATATATATATAATATGTGAACATATTTTTAAAAATGTACTTTTTATTTCCCTCTGTAGAATGTAAGCTTATGATTAGGGATTGTTTGATTCTTTGTACTTGTATTTTCAGTGCCTAGCACATAGTAAGTGCTTAATAAAAATTTGTTGCTTAATCAGTTGATTTGTGGTAGCAGTGGAATAGAAAGAAGAAAACACTTTGGAGAGACACTTTGGAGGTAGAATTGGGAAAATTTAACAATTTATTTGTGTCTGAGAAGAGAGGGGCCTTTAGAAATAATTTAATTTTGTTGATGATGAAACTAGGAGAGGGAAGGACTCAACATTAGCATTTTTAGCATTAAGCATTGGGTGAATGGTGGTGCCATTGACAGAAACAGGAAAATTAGAAGTAGTAGGTTTTGGAGAAAACATAAATTTACTTTTGAATTTTTAGAGAATTTTCTTTGTCCCTGCACTGTAATCTTGAACTACATGAGCTGTAGAAATGGTGCTTGTCTTATGCTACTTTCACTATTATTTAATATTTTTCTATGTATCTCTAGTTTCTTGAAGTCTACAACATATGCTTAACTTCTTTATATTTACCATCTCTAGCACAGAGCCTTACAGACAGTAGGTACTCATTAGATACTTGTTTATGATGGTGATTCATTTGTCTAATATTGGCCTAAACTGTTGATGTGGAGTATAAAACAAAATACAGGACATTTCTAACTCCTTATCATAAGGTCAAGTTTGATTTATCACAAAATGGAAGGTAGTTCTTGCATATATTTTTTGTTATTTTAAATGTTCAGCTACTGCTGAACATTTGTTGTAATACTTGTTAAAACTGTTGAGTTTTTTTTCCCTAAAATTGCTCTTAAATTTGAGAATCATTCTTATTTTTCCTTGACTTGTCCAGGCCCCTGTCCCAGGATTTTGCAACTTTTTGGTTCTGGGAATGTACTGTTCTCTAGCTCAGGAAAGAAGAAAAGCTTCTTTCGATTTGCTCTACCTCTCCCTGCTGTTAGTATTCTCTAAAAATCTCATTATACTTTAAATCACTCTCCTAATATACTTCTTCAGTACTCAAGGCAGCTGGCTTTGGTCTGTGTGCATGTTCCTCTCATTGATGCAGATCCCACCCCCATATACACATGCATGCCTCTTCATGAGTTCTTGTGGATGAAAAAATTGACTGGTGGTCAAACCCCTAGAGATGAGCTTCTCTGTGCTTCAGGAGACCTACGTTCCATTGTGGGGCCCAAATTTGCAGTTTTCTAGCTTAGTTCTGCAGGTTTGAAAACTTGTTGTTAACTGGTTACCTTCCTGATATGATGATGTAGTAGAAAAGGCCTGTAGTAGAAACTATCAGTGTCCATTGGGTTTAAGAATTGTCAGGAAATGCTATAGTTGCCCAAATCTAGAAGCTATTCATCAAAATTGTGAGTGGCCTCATTAGTTTATTTAATATTTCATGTTTATTTAAAGTCCAATTTTTATTAATTGTCTTTCCCTGCTTTTTACAAAAATCCTCCTCCTTTCAGGTAGGGAAGGCCTGTTACCAACAACAGGGCCAGGCCCAGGCTTTGTTTGCAGTAAAAACCCTGAGTGATGGAACTCTAGAACCCCAGTGTCATAGAATGTTAGAGCTAGGGGAGCTCCTATTCCTTGTTTTGGCACCTTTATTTTGCAGCTGAAGAAATCAAGGCTCAAAGAGGTGACTTGATGGGGCTGGCTAGAAGTGATCAAGATGACATGTTGTGTTACATATAATGATTCAGAACAATAAAAAGATTTAACTTTTAGGGAAGATATTATCCTGCTCATTGGATAGAGAAGGAACTTGAGATATTGCACAGTGAAGTGACTTGTCAGGTGAGGCAACTCTGTAAATTAGTGGCAGAACTGATAACAAAACTCTGGTCTTCTGACTGATTTTAGTGTTCTTTAAACTCTACAACTCTGCTTTGACTTTTTTTTATGTGTTATAGTTTTGCTTTATTTTGATCTTAGGATGTCTTTGATTTTGGATTCTTGTTGACAGCCTGCTATAAGGAGTTTAAATGATATCCACCTAGCCAAATGTAGACACTTTTGAACACAAAACATTTTTCTGTTATCTAGGTTCTTGAGGAAAACTGTCATCATCCCACAGTCTGTCCTGAGATAAGCATTCATTTCCCTTATTTCCTGCTTGCTTTTAATGCACCTAAGATGGAGATGATGTTAATATAGGAAGTTAGTATAGAGAAGTTCAGAATCTGATTAATTAGTTCAGATTTTAACTTTAAATTATTAACGTAATAGAGAAAATGACAGTGCTTTTTTAATGTCTGAAAATATGGAAACAAAACTGAGCAAATATTCCTTTAAACTGAAATGAAAACTTTAAGAATCTAGGGCAGGTATCAGCAGAACAAACTGTTCAAAGGATACTAAAAAAGGGGGAAAGATTGCTGCAATTTTTCTAAGTTAGAGGTCTTGTGATAATACTACAATAGTTGGAGAAGAGAGGGTTGAGGACAAAATCATTTAAGTTTGTCTATTTTGGTCTATTTGTAAGTAAAACATGCTTTTTTGATTGGATTGACTGGTTAGTTGAATGATCAGGTCATTAGGGTTTTTTGAGGGGATATTGTTTGAACATACCCATTTTCATCGAGGTTCTTTTTTTTTTGCTTTTTGGTGAGGCAGTTGGGGTTAAGTGACTTGCCCAGGGTAACACCACAGCTAGTTTCATCCAGGTTCTTAAAAATCCTCTTCTCAACTTAATTGATATCAGATAGATGGGATTAAGGAGAAAAAAGATGGGAAAATATTTAAAAAGACAAGAAATTGTTTTGAAAAACATAGTAAGATTGTAAGATCATAGACTCACAGCCAAAGGCTCTTGAAGGTCATCTACACATGAGGATAAAAGAATCTCAGAGAAGTTGAGTGACTTGGCCAAGATCACATAGGTAGTAATTGGCAGAGTCAGGATTTAAACTTGAGTCCTCTACCTCCAAATCCGGTGACCTTTTCATGGTATCATGCTTCTCTTTGTGTTGTTTGTTGGAAATCTAGAGATTTCCCAAAAGGAAATAAATGAAAGCTTAAGAGAAGAAGAGACTAGGTAAGGTTGATTTTGGTTTAATCAGTGAATGTATTTGTATTTATCATTTGGCACACATGTATATGTATATGTTATATAATGTATTAGCTACTAGTATGGTAGAAAGAACTTTGGATTAGGAATAACTCTGAGGGGCAGCTAGATGGCACAGTGGATAGAGCTCTGGCCTTGGATTCAAGGGATCTGAGTTCAAATCCTGCCTCAGCCACTTGACACTTACTAGTTGTGTGACCCTGGGCAAGTTGCTTAAACCTGATTGCCTCACCAAAAAGCAAAAAAAAAGGAATAACTCTGATTTCTTTAATTAACTATTAGTGTGACTTTGAACAAATAACTTAAGTACTCTTTGGATCTCAGTTTCCTCCTCTGTAATTGAAGAGAATTGAATTAGATAATGTCTGAGATTCCTTCTTCCTCCAAAATTCTATGATTTACTGATTAATGAACCCAAAATAAGATACAACCTCTAGCCTCAAAGACCTTTTAGTCTCATAAACATGTATTCAGTTCAATAAATATTTATAAGGCACTGTGCTAGTCCCTGGCAAAAATGAAATGATCCCTGTCCAAAGCAGCTTATACCATTAGGGAGAACAGGATTTCATTAGTGTAGGATGAATGTGGTAATTTGGAATATAAAATTTGGGGCTCACATGCCTACTTTGAGTACTTTATATGTTATGATTATTGTGGGGATTTTTAAACGTAAGGTGGGAAAAGCTTTTATAGGTTGCCTACCTGAGCTACAGTCTTAGACACAAGTCTGCTGAAAGGACCATCTCCTATGAGATATTATTTTGCCTGTGCTGGTTAGAGACTTCTGAGTAGGTTAATAAAGTTTATCTTCCATTAGTTATTACCAGCATTTTGAATTATTCTGTGGAGTTGGTCTGACTCCTAATAAACACGGGGCACCACTCCTTCTTGAGAGTTCTAAGGAAAGAAAACATCCAACTGTGATAAAAAAGGAGTCCTGGAAGGGAAGGGACCTTAGAAATTGTCTAGTCTAGCTGCCTTGTTTTGAGAATGAGGAAACCAAGTTCCAGAAGGGATAAGTGACTTGCCTATGGCCATATAAGTAGCTGGTAAGTTTCTGAAGAGGAATTTGAACCCAAGCCTTTATAATTGTGAGTCTAGCACTCTACTGCAAAATGCATTTTGATAGATGCCGGCTCTTACTGATTCAATAAGCCAAATTCATTAGCTTCCACTCTGGTAGATAGTACCTTCTGAAATTCTGAAACTTTTAGGGTCATTACATTGAGAACCACCTCACATGTATTCTTTTACAGTGTATAGAATATCAAATATCTACTTGAAAAAGCTTTAAAAAATTTAACATGTTTCACCTGCAGTCTGAAACATAAAGTGCTTCCAGAGGACTTATTTTCAATTTAGGTAAAATCAAAAGGCTGTGAAAAGAGCCATAATGTAGCCTAGAGAGTAGAATACTATCTCTGCATTTCCCAAGGTGAGATGATCAGGAAGCTATGGATTTCAAAAGGTTTCTTAAGTGCTTTGACTTCTTTTGAGGGAAGTTTTCTATAGTAATAAAATGTTATTATTATTACATTATTAAAATTATATTATTATTAAGGCCATTTTAATAGTTAGCTACTGAGAGTTATGCATTTCTCTTGTCCCTGTTTTGTAGTATTTGAACTTTGGCTTAGAGGCCACATTCTCCTACATGTGTGAGGGATGGGCACCTTGCAGAGTGAGGGCAGGACTACACATGCTTTTATTCATTATGCTTTTAGTTCTGGTTGCCTAGCTTAGTTTGATTAGATCGAGGGAAGTTATAGTTAAGGATCAGAGTTGATAGCTGATTCATTTGTCTCACAGCTCTCCTTCATCTACTTCCCCACTGCTTATGTACTCCTTTAATTTTTTCATTCTCTTGCATTTTTTATGCAAGAAAATGTAGTTTTCTGGTTTCCTATTGAAATTATAAGCATTTATTTGCACTATACACATATGAATTCACACATACATTCAGTTGAAGAGAAACTGTTGGATACTACTGGGCCATTTTCAGATACTCAGGCATTTACTGGCCTTTGTGAGAAGGTGCCCAATCCCACTGAAAGCTCTGTGATATACTAAGTAGGGCCTTTCTGTGCCTTGGGAAAGTTCCTCATGAATGGGCTGACTTGAGGGTATATAGATTCATGTCAGGCTCATCATATGTTGTTAGGTGTTTATGTATGTCTTAGGTTACCCAGTATAAGTTGATTCTAAGGGTGTTAGTTTTTTTTTTAGCACCAGTGAGAAAACCTCAGTACCTATGGTATCATTCAGTATGTAAAGACTTTCCCTTCCACCCATTAGTTCTCATTATCACCAGGGTTCAGATCAGAAGCCTTAATCAGGTGTTTTTGCAGTAGCCATATGGACCCACTCAGTTGATTGCATGTACTGAGGAACAACTTTAATGACCTCCATTCTGCCTGTAACTAAAGGTGACTCTTCTAAGTTTTAGTCAACAGCTTATTTAATATTTGGTGTGTGGGTCCAAAATAGGATGATAAAGCACTGAATGAGGTTGTTTTGAGGGCATTTGTATTATCCAAATTTGATGGTCTCCTATTGTTGCCAGTTTGACAACTAGTAGCAGCATAGGGACCACTGATAGGTAAGTCATGAGAAAAAATTTAGGTTTCAGTGATTTGTGTTCCTAAATAGCAATTGTTTCAGGAATATGTAGATGTCTTCCATTCTAGTGGTATATAAGCTCCTTGAGGGGAGGACTGTTTTTCATTTTTGTCTTTATGTCCTAGTATTTATCACAGTGCCTTGTATATAGTAAGCACTTAATAAATGTTTGTTTTAGAGGCCACCTAAGGGGAATGCTGCCTTTTTGATACTTGGGAATAGCCTATGTATGTACTTTTCTTCTGCTTTCCACTTGGGTGTTTCTTTATATTGTCCTTTTCAAACTTTGTTGATAATCACCTGGTGGTTTAGATTTTAAGCTCTTTGAGTGAAGAGATTGTCTTTTGCCTCTTTTTACCTCCTCAGCACCTAGCCCAGTGTCTGGCACATAGAAGACATTCAGTAAATGTTTATTGAATTGAATTGGCTAAACAACCATTGGTAAAACCAACTGACAAGCAATTCATGGGAAAAAAATAGATTTAATTGAAGTAAAGAACACTTTGCTAAATTAAAAATATCCAAGAAATTTCATCTCCAATCCTGCTTTAAGGTATTCTTCTTAATGAGCTATTGCTATTAATAATCTAAGAGGTATTTGCCTTTGCAAAAGTCAGGTTTTTTTTAACAGAAAACTTTTATGTTTTAGACTGTTCATAATGGAGGAATGAAGAGTGCCTGCTTGAAGGACTTATGTCCTGAAGACAAAAGACGTATTGCAAACTTAATTAAAGAGCTTGCCAGGTGAGACTAAACCTCATACATTGTGCCTAAGCAGTGCATTTCTTTTGAAGATAAAAAGTGAAAGGAGCTATTTTGTTGAATTACCATTCATTATCATTTGATCTTATGGGGACCAAAAGTATTTCAGTATCAGACTTGTTATCCCATCTGAGAAAGAGATATTCTGTGGTCAGAAAAACCAACATTCCTCTGTTCATTTTATCTTTTGTTTGAAGTCCCAGATTGGTTGGTATGAACCTTTATAGAAATCATTTATCATGAGGGAAAGTTTGAAACAGAGCAGTACTGTTGAGGTAGGCTGGTATTGCTGTGATCAGAAGCACAGCAGTTATCCTTTGATCTGTCTAGTTAGCCTTGCTTCATTATCTGAACTGAAATTGTATTGTCTATTGTAAAACTATCCTTTTGTCATTTTGCTGGCTTCTAATACTTTTTGATAAAGAGATGTTTGAGCTTTGAGGGGTTATATTTCTGATCTGTCTACCAATCAAATTCATTATGGATGTGTGCAAAACCAGAACTGGACTTGTACTACCTGATTAATATTTGCTTGGTGATTGTGTGTGACCTCTTTGTGAATATATATGCCAGTTCTAGGGCTTTCAGATACTTATATCGTAAATGAAAATTTTTGTAAGGAAATGTATTAAATATGTTTTGGTAAATAAGCAATGAAACACAGAAAGTACTGATTTGAAAATAATAAAAACTATGAAATTTTCCATAGAAGTATACATTATATTGAATTCTGGTAAGTAACTTCTGGTTATTCCTTGGTTTCAAATGATTAAAATAGAAGTTAACTTTCAGATGTTTCCAGTTTTATTTTGACTGTTATAATTGTTTAAAAAAATTTCTTTGTAAGTTCTTTCATTTTTGTTTTCTGGCTAAAAGCATAGAATCTCAGGAATTCAGAGATGCTAAAGGCATTGTTCTCTGGTGTGACACACCTGGGAGAAGTCTGAAGCACTGTGTTCTCATGTAGGAATACATCCTGGAACAAATTAACTTTTTTGTCTAGACTCTTCTGGCTAGATATGACCCATGTGGGTGGAGTTTTCATTGAAATCAAAGTGTGTTTTTTGTGTTTTAGGTAATGGTTCTTTGTCATCCTTAGTGTTTGAATTTTATTCTCTGTTGCATTACTTCTCAAAAGGGCAGAAGTAATTGTCCTGTCTCATGTATGCAAAAGAGGCTGAAAAGCCATTACATTTAATTCAACTCTCTCTGTCCTGTGGCCCTTGAGGGTCGTTGTAATCTTGGCCCTTTTCATTTCAGCTACTTGAAACTGGATAGCATGGCTGAAGAAGTAAGGAACAGCAGTTTACCTTTATAAATCCTCTCATCCAGTGAAAGCCTTATCATGTAGGGATGGTTGATGAATAAATGAATGAAAAAGCATTTATTAAGCTCTTACTATGTGTTTTGTGCTACAGATTACAAATATAATCAAGTCAGAACCTGCCCTCAAGCAGCTTACATTCTTATAGGGGAAGATAACATATAGAGAAGTGGTAGCCAAGGAGGAGAATTTTGTACAGGAAAGTTAGAGAGATGGTGAACAGAATTTTAGGGAAATTGATTGAAATATCTTTTTTCAGCAGTGATGGTATTGATTTGATTACTGTTCTTAGAACTACATTTGACTAGAGAGGAGGATTAGCATGGAGAGAAAATGGCATAATGGCATGAGGATGACCAGGAAGTAGCTTGTTGGGAAGTAGTAGTAAAGACCCAGCTCCCCAGGGTGGGCACTTTTAGATGCTGGAAATGCAAAGAAAGGCAGAAACAGTCCCTGCCCTCAAGAAACTACACATTCTAATAGGGGAGACAACATGCAAACAACTATGTACAAACAAGACATATACAGGATAAACTGGAGATAAACAATAGAGAGAAGACACACTAACATTAAGGGGCACTTGGGAAGGCTTCTTGCAGAAAGTCGGTGTTACATTTTTGTATTTTTTAACAAATACATTTAAAACCCACTGAAACTTGTCATTTAGAAGATTTTTAAACAATTTAGAAAATTCTGTTTTTAAAGCATGCAGATATGAGAGTTTTTATAGGTGATAAGAAAAAAAGTTGTTTTAAAATATCTTATTGTGTTGGATTCACACTAAGTAGCTAATAATATCTCAAGGTACAATTATGGAGAGCCATTGTTATTTGTAGTGAATGTAAATCCATATTTCAGGAAATCTTGATAACTTTGAAGTTCTTGTCAGGTGGGATTAGACAGCATTACTTTACCTTATGTAATATGGCTAATGAAGAGCTACTATTAGAAGTAGGAGGAGTGTTAGCATTACATTTTCTTATTTGGTACCTTGTGTTTGCATTAACATTATTTCCAATACATGGTTTCTTTGCAGGAATCTTTTAAACCACTTATCCGTTTTATGAAAGTTAGTTGAAAGTAGACAATATAATCTGTAATTTCACTGAACTGGGCATATTAAACAGTAATATGTCTGAAAAGTCACTGAACCCACTATCAATCTCTCCAAGTTGATGAATTCTCATTCTTCCATTAGGATACCATATGTGACACGTAACTATCTGACATACAGATTCAGGGCTCCAGTATCAATCCATCTCTTAAATGTTATTAAAGCTTAATTTCTTTTTACTTGTGGATAAAAAAACCTATCAATCAATAAACATTGTGTAGTAGTTTTGATAGACAGTAATTAATATAGTAACATAATTTATAACATAAACATGTTATAGTTTGTTGTATCATCTTATATATTTCACCTTGGGGACTACTCCTTTAGATCATTGGATTTAGAAAATTATATGTAGCTTGGCATATTGACAGCAAGAATCAAACTGATTAGAAAAGTCTATGGAGAGTAGAAAGTCTTATTTAATAGCAAAGTATATGGAAGCATTGAATTTAAGTGATTAAGTAAAAAGGTGCTGAATTTAAAGTCAGAAGAGCTGGATCCAGATTTTTTTTTTTGAGTGGGGGCAGCCTGGAGCCAGCCAGACAGTTTTATTGAAATACTTTTAAATAATTTGTGTTAGTCTTGTGTGTCAGCCACACCACATGTGTCCATGTCAGTGATGCCGTGTTGGACCCTGGAGGGTTCTGGGGATTTGGCTAAGGAGTGTGCTAGCCTTTGAATCCAAGCTGGGTTGGGGAGCGTGTTCTGTGGCTACCAGTTCTGACCCAGCTACCGCTGCCCAATAGCAGACTCCAGTCTCTTAAACCTAAGCAGGGAGTGGATTGCTGAGGCTGGCATGGATTCAGGTCTTGGCTTTGGTATTTCTTAGCTTTGCCACTTCATACCTACTTAATCTTTCTGAGCTGAAGTTTCCTCATCTTTAAGAGGAGAGGGTTGGACTATTGCCATTTTTGTCATCTTTGTTAGTTTTCATAGTGTGAAGTATAACCTTAGGGCTATTTTAATTTTCATTTCTCTTATTTGTGATTTGCTGAAGCTATGAATAGTCTCAATTAATATGTTTGCTGATTTCCCTAGGACTTTCCAAATATACCGAAATATCATCCTCAAATAGTGACAGTTTTATTTACTTTTTACCTATCTTTCTGCCTTTAATTTCTTTCTCTTAATTGTTGCTAGTGTTTCCAGAGCGACATCAAATAATAGTGGGGAAAGAGGGCATCCTTCTTTGACTCCTGTATTTATTGGAATAGATTCTAGTGTTATCCCCATTGTTTATGATGCTTGCTTTTGGTTTTAGATAGCTTTTAAAAAATAATATTCCTCTATGCTTAAACTTTTAGGTATTTTAGCATAAATAAATGTTATATTTTGTTAAAGGCTTTTTCTGCATCTGTTGAGATCATCATGTGGTGTAGGGTATTTTGGTTTTTAATATGATGAATTTTGTTGATTATATTCCTATTATTGAATCTTTCTTGCATCACAGGTATAAATCCAGTTTGGTCATAGGGAATGATTTTTTGGATATATCTCTGTGGTCAATTTGACAAGATTTTGTTTAAAATTTTTGGATCACTATTCATGAAAGATATTGGTGCGTAGTTTTCCTTCTGTGCTTTATCCTTCTCTGATTTAGGTATTAAAATTATATTTTACTTACAGAAAGATTCTGGTAGGATACTTTCTCAGTTTTTAAGAATAATTGGCGTACTGTGGGTACTAATTGTTCTTTAAAAGTTTGATAAGATTTTCCTGTGACTTCATCAGGACCAGGAAGTTGTTTTTTTTTGGGGGGGGTGTCCTCAGCTAATTCTATTTTCCTTTTTGAAATTAAGTTATTTAAGAGATGCATCTAGTCTTCTGATAATTGGAATATTTTATATTTTTGAATATATCCCTCATTTCTTTTGTGTTCTCATCTTTGTTAGCACCTAAGTATGTATATGTTCTGATTATTCCTTTTCTTCTGATTTTGTTTTGAATTCGCCTTGTTCATTTGCTATTTTATTGATTTGATTTTCTGCCATCTTTTTAATCAGATTACTAAAGGTTTATCAGTTTTATTAGTCTTTTCAAAGAATCAGTTTTTAGTTTTATAATTTCAATTTTTTTAGTTTCCACTTTATCTATTTCTTCTCTAATTTTTAATATCAGGAGCTGAAGGTATAGTGAATAGAGTGTTAGACCTGGAGGAGGGAAGACCTAAATTCGAATTTGGTACCAGACACTTAATAACTGTGTAACTCTAGGCAAAATACTTCATCACTCTTTGTCTAATTATCCCCAGATATAGAGGATGATAATGACATCTACTTTGAAAGGTTATTGTGAGGACAAAATGAGCAAATATTTTTAAAAGTGCTTAGCACAATGCATGTCATATAATAGGTGCTATATAAATTCTTACTCTCTTTTCTCCCCCCCCCGTTAATGGCTCATCATTTGTGCTTATTTTAGATTTATTTGTTATCTTTCTAATAAAAAATGCATATTCAGTTCATTAATCCTCTTTTATACTTTGATAATAATGTATGTTTGTAGGTATATTATTTTTCTTCTCAAAACTGTTTTGACTTTATT